GATCAGCCTTCTTTATGGTCCAGCTCTCTCTTCCATACATCACTACTGGGAAAACCATAGCTTTAACTATGCGGACCTTTGTTGGCAAGGTGATGTCTCTGCTTTTTAAGATGCTGTCTAGGTTTGTCATTGTTGCTGCCTTGCCGTGGCGAAGGGGCTTGAATAACTCAGAGAAGCTATGAGCTATGCCGTGCAGGGCCACCCAAGATGGACAGGTCATAGTGGAGAGTTTTGACCAAACGTGATCCACCTGGAGCAGGAACCGGCAAGCCACTCCAGTATCCCTGCCAAGAAAACTCCATGGACAAAAACAACAGGCATATAAAATTTGGGAAGAGTTGCAAGTAAATGCTGTTGCTTTTGGGGAAACGAATGCTGCTGCCTCCAGACTGAGACGTTATACCTCTGAATTGGTGGCAGCCACAAATGGGAGAGTGCTGTTTCACTCAAATCATCCCTGCAGGCTTTCCATCAGCATCAAATTAGCCACTGTGAGAACAGGATGCTGGACCTGATAGGTCTTTGGCTTAATCCAGCAGAGCTCTTTTTATGCTCTTCACTAGCATTGTCTGTCACAGTCTTGGCTTGTTCCCCCAGCTCACCATCTATATGCAAACTAAACAGCTATCACAGCAGTACAAGCTTGCCAAGGCGACTGTCCCTGCTAAAGCGTGCCCCCAAATGTCCTGTTAGTCGAGGAAGTGGAGAACGCAGTAAATAAACCAGTCAGTATATGCTGCGGTTGATGATTAATGTGTTAATACTGAATTGGGGGGATTGAGCCAACCTCAAATAAAGCTGTTGTTGTTGTTGTTGTTGTTGTTGTTGTTGTTGTTGTTGTTGTTATACCCCACTTTTCCCCTCACATGAACCCAAGGTTTCCCCAGCCACTCTGGGTTGCTTCCAACAAAGATTAAAAAAATATTAAAATGTCACACATTAAAAACTTCCCTGAACAGGGCTGCCTTCAGATGTCTTCCAAATGTCAGGTAGTTGTTTATCTCTTTGATATCCGATGGGAGGGCGTTCCACAGGGCGGGCGCTGCTACCCAGAAGGCCCTCTGCCTGGTTCCCTGTAGCTTTGCTTCTATCAGTGAGGGAACCACCAGAAGGTCCTCGGGGCTGGACCTCAGCGTCCAGGCAGAACGATGGGGGTGGAGACGCTCCTTCAGGTATATTGGGCCGAGGCCGTTTAGTGCTTTAAAGGTCAACACAAACACTTTGAATTGTGCTTGGAAACGTACTGGGAGCCAATGTAGGTCTTTCAAGACCGGTGTTATGTGATCTCAGTGGCCACCCCCAGTCACCAGTCTAGCTGCCGCATTCTGGATTAGTTGCAATTTCCGGGTCACCTTCAAAGGTAGCCCCATGTAGAGTCCCACAAAGGCTCCAGGCAGAACGTTCCACAAGTGAGGAGCCACCACAGAAAAGGCCTGTTCTTGTGATGCCACCCTCCAGACCTCTCATGGACATGGCACACAAAGAAGGCCCTCAGATGATGATTGCAGGGCCTGGGTAGGTTCATATGGTGAGATGCAGTACTTGAGGTATTGTCCTTCTGAACCATTTAAGGTTTTATAGGTATAAATCATCACTTCCTATGGGCGTAGTGATTCCCTCGAGATGGAAAAGATTAGCCAAGCCTGCAAATTCTGGAGGAAGCTCAGTGTCAGAACACTGGAGTCTATTTCGCTTCACAGCTAAATTTGCAAAAGCAGCTGTGGTAAAAACAGATGCAAAGCAGTCTAAAATTAATGGACTGCTTTTCAAGGGTAGTCTTTCTGGGGGGAAATAAAAAACCCAAATCCTTATGTTTTTCATCCTGCCTCTCATATTACAAATTCTGGTGACAGTCAGGATTGAAAACATCAGGATTTGAATTTTTAAAGATTACCCTTGCAAAAGAGTAATAGGATTCAGAATGTATCTAGGGCATTTTAACTTAGGTCTTATGTCATAATGTATCACACCTCTGAAAGTCTGTCCATCTCATCCTCTCAAAGTGTTTTTCAGGTGTGGATAGAAGAGGCATTGTCTGAAAGTTGAGAATGGGAAGAAGGTAAAGGTCTGGATTTTGAGAATTCTCTGTCTTTCACTTTGCCAAGAGCACCTCAAGTGCTGTTTTTCTTGAAAAAGAGGTGTCAGAATTCAACACAAACGCCTCCCTTGTCCTCTTATAACGGCAACGGCGCCCACCAGAGAGGTGCCAAAACTGAGTACTAGTGAGTTCTGGCTGGAAAAAAGCCCTGGGCCTCCCCAACTAAGATTTGCTTTGGAAAATTGCACTGTTTTCCTCTGCTTAAGGGAAACACCAGCCCCTTTTATGATATCGGCAGCCATTATACCAACCACTCACCTCCTCTCAAACTTATTTGCATACCTAGCAATCAGCATACTTCATGTTAAAGAAAGGAGCTAGCAAGGAACACATTCTGCAAGGCTTCGACAATTAGGGTGGGTGAAATATACTCGGAGTCAAGAGTGGATTTCATGCTCTTTATTCAGCTCATAGTGGTGAGGAGGAATGGAAGTTCCCCCAGAATGTCTGCTTTATATACATTATTTACACAATGGGCCCCACGTGATTGGCTAATTCCGGGATTCACCTGTAGGCCAATCAGGTTGCGGATTCACTTCCACCTGGAGCTGGATTGGGTGGTTCCTGTGGACCAATCAGACTGCTGCATTCTGGACCCTATTGTTCTAGGACCATTCAGAATGCTGTATTCTGAATCCTATTGCTCTAGGACCAATCAGAATGCTGCTGTTTGGATCCTATTCAACTCAATACATAACAGTGGGCATCTTGTGAGAATGGCCACAGAGCTGGGTTGAATAGGACTGAACTGAAAAAGAGGAAGGAAGGATGCAGATGAGGCAAGGATGGAAGAGGGCCCCAGTGGATTGAAAAAAGGGGACAGTGGGAAGGAAACTGAGGCCAAGCTGCCTGGGAACAGAAGCTGGGCCGCATCTTATCTCCATTATCTATAGTTACCTTTATTATCTTCTGCCATCTTCTTCCAACAAGCTTTTAAATGGAGGTTTTAACCCTGGTCTTTTATCTGCATTGGACTAGAAAATGCGTTTGTGTTTTTACTGCTGATGTTTTTACTGTTAATTGCTTTGGGATGCATCATGGCAAACAATTCGCAAATGAAATAAATAATACAAAGAATTCATGCTTTAAATAATACTGTACCTTTTTCTGTGGAGTACTATGAAGTCAGGTCAATCTTTTAAATGCCAGGGATAGTTGGCTATTTTAGTGTAACACCTAAAAATGGCAGGGGAAGGGAGAGGATGTGAAAATATTTTGTCTGGTGGGGTGAAAACAAAGAATGTGGAAGAAAAGCTTTCTGGTACAATTTCATAGTTTCTAGCTTTACGGTGCAAGCCAGTGCATGTCAATTCAGAAGTAAACCCAAATGAGTTCAATGGGACTTACTCCACTGTAAGTGTGTATAGGATTGTGGCCCAAGTTGCACTGCTGTCATTTTGGCAGCCCCTCTCAGGGGCAAGAATTACTCAGCTCAGGCGGGTGACTAGAAAGAAAGCAAAGTTAGAGTTTTGAATCCTGCAAAGATGCAGTGATCAGCCTTATCTGTCGGTTGAACTTCGGGCTGATTGGAGCTGTTAATATTTCTTGCAGCGGTTCCACAAGTATTCCTGTGAAAAGATTAATCAGGAGGATGTCCTGAGCATGTTGCTGTTGGGAGGCAATTCTCAGGGCCACCTGGTGACATTTAAGAGAGAAAGCATTGAGACCAAATGTGTGTTCTCCCTCCCTCACTGCTCTTCATTCTCCTGAGAGTTGCATCCAGGTTGGGATTACCAATTGCTTCCATATCTCTCCACTCCCAAAATGGCATATCCATTTGTCCAGGAACTAACATGACTAATTTCTCTTTCACACACATTTTATACGGTGCTATTTTTCTAGAAAAAGAGGTGCCAGAACTCACCATGAATACCTCCCTTGTTTCCTTATAATGGCAATAGCGTCCACCTAAGAACTGCCGGAACTGAATCCCGGAAAGTTCCAGCTGAAAAGAATAAACTCTGATTTTATAATTTGTAATCTCTGACTAAGACAAAACTGCCTCGGCCCAGTATACCTGAAGGAGCGTCTCCACCCCCATCATTCTGCCCAGACGCTGAGGTCCAGTGCCGAGGGCCTTCTGGAGGTTCCCTCATTGCGAGAAGCCAAGTTACAGGGAACCAGGCAGAGGTCCTTCTTGGTAGTGGCGCCCGCCCTGTTGAACGCCCTCCCATCAGATGTCAAAGAGATAAACAACTACCTGACATTCAGAAGACATCTGAAGGCAGCCCTGTTCAGGGAAGTTTTTAATGTGTGACATTTTAGTGTATTTTTCATCTTTGTTGGAAGCCACCCAGAGTGGCTGGGGAAACCCAGCCAGATGGGCAGGGTACAAATAATAAATTATTATTATTATTATTAGTATTATTATTATTCATCTTCTTTCACGGGCATTTTTAGTGATGCTAAATAATGCCTCCTTTCCTTAGTGCTTTGGAGGGGAGGAGTTGATGCTCCTTTAAACCATATTATTTATTTAAATTGCCCTCAGTCACCATTACTTCCCCCATCATTCCACAGCCAAATCAGATTTCATTTCATCTAATGAGGACAATTGCCTTCAACCGGGTGATATTCTCTGAATTCTGATTGGGTGGGATAGTCCATGTGACCACAATTCTGAAAAAGAGTGGAGCAGTAAGAGAGGAGGGAAAACAGGACCAAAATGGCAGAGAAGGTTACAGTGGCATTTGAGCAGATTTGGAGCAGAGGGAGGGTGAATATCCAAACACCATTGCACAGGAGGAATTCTACGTCAAAACTGCAGCATTAAAAGCTAAAACTGAAGTGAATATTTAGCACAGATCTAGGACATTTGCATAGGAGCATTGATCGTGAACTCGTTTCAAGCTGAGAGGCAGCATCTTGAGACAACTCAGCCAGAGATATTGGTTTACTCGTACTGCTCTTTCCTGAACACATCTTCAGATTGCGGCACATTATTTTCCTTCTCCTTCTGAGACTCTGTCCTGTAAGGAAGACAAACTGTAATAATACTTTCTGCCTAAGGGATTTGTTCTACCATCATATGGAGCTACCAAATAATTTTAGCCCACCAGAGTTCATATCCATAGCCAACTTTTATGTCCATATTACAGATAGAGGGGGAATTTGCAATAGAAGGAGGCTGTACAATCATTGGTTATTTCAATTTACAGGAAGGAAGATAGATTAATACTATATTTTCACACCCAGCTTTTAGGCTACTGTGTTTTCTTGATCAGCTGTGCCTCACGGCTCCATCCACTGCTAGAGGACTTGGAGAGGCCAAGTGTAATTGATGCTTCATTCCAAAACTGGTCATTTCTTTGACCAAAGCAGACTCCTAATTTGACCTTCTGCATCTGGATTTAACTCTGGACTGATGCCTTTGGAAACAACAGGATATGGCAAATATCACATATTTCAAATTCACAAACTCGATACAGTTTGTACACAGTTTGTACACTTTCAGGAGGTGGTGGAACAGAGTCAGTGTGGTGCAGGAAGAGTCCCAAATGTCAAACAGAGAGACCTAGGTCTATGATGGACTGGGAGAAGGGAGGAGGCAATTAATTTTCTTCTCTCTTTAATTCTTTTAAAGCTTCACCTGGCATCTGCAGGTCATGACCCCATACCCTAAAAACTCCATATTCTGTTCACATACGAGCCCTGCTTCCAAGTGGCCAGACCAGGAAGTGAGACAATGAAATGACCAAAGGGAGCTTGTTTGAAATTAACATGCATTCCGGTGAGGACATCAACTTTCTCCTAATTAGCTTGCATATAGAGAGGATAGCACACATCTTAAAAGAACACCCATCACACCTCCCTTAAAAGCTCTGAACAGAAAATGAACTTCTTAAAAGTAATTGGGAGAGGGCAGAGAAGAATGCAATTAGTGCCCTCACATTAGAGACTCCACCTCAATTAATACAACACTAGAATTATCAGTCTGGTTTGGCGGCAACAAAAAGCCCCGAAGAACAATGTGCCACCTTAAAGAATGTTAAATGTATTGTGGGATAAGCTTTCAGGAGCCAGATCTCACTTAAACTAAAGCAGGGGTGGGGAATCTATAATCCTGCAGGTGTCCTTATCCCCAGTCAGCTTAAATAGATATCACTTGCCAAAATGGCTTCTAAGCAGGTAAATAAGTAAAGGTAAATGACCCCTGGATGGTTAAGTCCAGTCAAAGGTAACTATGGGGTGTGGTGCTCATCTCACTTCAAGCCGAGGGAGCCAGCATTTGTCCACAGATGGCTTTCTGGGTCATGCGGCCAGCATGACTAAACCGCTTCTGGCACAACGGGACACCGTGATGGAAGCCAGAGAACACGGAAACACTGTTTACCTTCCCACCACAGTGGTACCTATTTATCTACTTGCATTGGTGTGCTTTTGAACTGCTAGGTTGGCAGGAGCTGGGACAGAGCAATGGGAACTCACCGCCATTGCACGGATTCGAACCACTGACTTTCCGATCAGCAAGCCCCAGACGCTCAGTGGTTTAGACCACAGTGCCACTCGCGTCCCTCATGGTGGTCTGTGGGTATACATACAAAGAGAGAACCAGAAGGCCGGATCACATTATTATGTGATTGGTTTCATTCTGAAGAACTTCATTGCCCAATTTTGTGACCTGCCAAGTTTAATGCACCAGTCATAATGACGTCCTATGTTCCTGAAAGCTCCTCTTCCCAGTTTTACAGTTCCCAACCAACATTGAAAAACTGGAAGCTTATGGAGCCATTGGTGAACCACCACACATGGCTAGTGTGCTACTTTTACCCTGTGCATCACAGGATATGCAGGCTTGCTGCAGAACAATATGAAATGATAGTAACTCATGCATCTAATTTGTGGACAACTGGCACTCAATGGGACATGGATGTTGTGAAAGGAAACAACAGCCCACAGCCACAAATCTATCAAGGAGACAGGGTGTCATCTATATTGAACACTAATTAGCATCAGGGTGAGAGAGAACATATTGATCCTGAAGCAAACCACAGTGAGAGGCGTTCAGTAGCATTTCTAATTGTTTGGCTTACCATTTTTCACGCTGGCTGGCCTTGAGTGTACCAAAGAAACTTCTTTGTTTCTTTATTTGTAAGATTTCTATCCTGCCCTACTGGATCATGCCAAAGACCCATCTAGAAAAGCACTCTGATCTCACAGAGGCCAACAAGAGGCCCATGGGAAGCCCATATGCAGGACACAAGTGAAGTGTAACTGCACTCTCACATAATCATGTTCTCGTGTATTCAGAGGCATACTGCCTCCAACTAAGTATTAGCTCATTTCCTGTGCTCCTATGACATCAGAACACATATCAAATTGCACTACACATTAAAGGTAAAGGTAAAGGGACCCCTGACCATTAGGTCCAGTCGTGACCAACTCTGGGGTTGCGACCCTCATCTCGCTTTATTGGCCAAGGGAGCCGGCATACAGCTTCCGGGTCATGTGGCCAGCATGACTAAGCCGCTTCTGGCGAACCAGAGCAGCGCAGGGAAACGCCGTTTACCTTCCCGCCGGAGCGGTACCTAGTTATCTACTTGCACTTTGACGTGCTTTCGAACTGCTAGGTTGGCAGGAGCAGGGACCGAGCAATGGGAGCTCACCCCATTGCGGGGATTCAAACCGCCGACCTTCTGATCGGCAAGTCCTAGGCTCTGTGGTTTAACCCACAGCACCACCCTTGTCCCGCACTACACATTACAGAGGCAGAAATCAATATTGGGCTGCTACATTCGGTAGTAGCATGGAGCATGCACATAATCATAATCATAATAACAACAACAAGAAGAAGAACAAGAACAATAATAGAAGTATAAAACATTGAAGTATAAAGCATCATTTTCAAATTCCACCTTTTTTTAAGGCAAAGAATGTATAAATGAGAGATGTGGAGACAGAATGAAAACAACAATAACAGGAAATGTATTTTTTTTTTCAGAATGATGTTGAAAATGCACATTTAGTGGTTTCAACTGCAGGCATAGAATTAGCTTAATTTGTTTAGCTTTTAGCTGATTAATGGACCGAGCTGCATCTTGACAATAATATTAGGATGCTCGCCAGCTTCTGTGCCACTTCAATAAATTATACAGCACTTTTAACATTCATCATCTCACTGATGAAGCCCATCCTCTTACCTGTCCATCTGCAACATCTTAGCAATAAATCAGTGGGGTGTAGGATTTAACATGACTACAAAAAGGAGCTCTGAGTCCCATGGTTACAGAAGTTTGAGCAAAAAATGTGTTCTTATGAAGAGAAAAGAGATACTGCAAGAAGACAAATTGCACCCCTAGATGGATCCTATCATTGTAGGCTTTGTCTCTGTCCTGATGCTGATCTCCAGAGCAGATGTTGGTGATGATCATGATGATGATTTTCCATAGGACAGAATAGCACCAATTCCCTTACATGGGGGAAAATAAAAGGATGTACTCTGAATAGACCTGCACAACTTGTGTCTCACCAAGCCAAAATCATGCACACACCAGAAGGGGCCCTTTGACACAAGCTCCCTGGAACTGCAGACTCTCCAAGTGCCCCTATTTTCCAAGGACAATCCTGGATTTACAGAAGCCATCCCCGTTTCTGATTTGATCCCAGAATGTCCCACTTTTCCTTAGGATGTCCCTATTTTCATGGGAGAAATGTTGCAGGATATGGAATAGGACGTGCCTAGGGCTTTTTTCCCAGCCAGAACTCACCAGAACTCAGTCCCAGGACCTCTCGGGTGGGTACCATTGCCATTCTAAGAGAAAGAGGGATGTGTTCATGAAGAGTTCCAGCACCTCTTTTTCTGGAAAAAAGAGCCCTGGGGCTGTATCTAGACACATCGAAGAAGTGTTACACGCGTTGTAAATTTTAACAGGGAAAACAGGTAGAGAAAAATAGGACTCCACTGCGCCATCTGGTGGCACAATGTTATATTGGATATACAACGCATATAAATTGCTTTTTCTTTGCCAATCTAGCTAAGTCCTGGGTGTTCCTATTTTCATCAGAGAAATGTTGGAGGGTATGGCCATAGGATGTCCTTTTCATTGGGAAAATGTTGAAGGGTATGGAACTGCCGCAGTGAGGGGGTGGACTCATTTGGGGAGAAGGTCCCATGGAAGATGTCTTGACCAAGGGCCCTCCAGAATCTGGAGCCGACACTGGTTAAGAACTCTCACAATATAGTATTTTATTGACATCAGCAGCATACATTGGAATATAATAGGAACAGTTTTGCACAACCTCTCCCTTTTCAAGATGGATTTCTTTTTTTTTTTTTTTCAAAAGACACAGATGTTCATAATACAGGTAAGGTAACAATTAAGCTGCACAATACCAAAACAAGTTTACAGTTATTTTCACCACTCTAGATTTTTGTGGTTTGGGTCAGGTGACCGAGACTGAATGTATACATTCAGATTCAATAATTAGCTGGGTTATTTTATCATCGTCGTTATTATTTACTCATTAATCCTCTGGGCACATTGCTTTACCATGCAAACCTACACTCGGATCTACTCAAACATTAGTCCCACTGAGTTCAATGGGCCTTACTCACCAGTAAACAGGTATAGGATTGCACATGTACAGTGCAAATCTATACATGTCCATGCAAAAGTAAGCCCCATTTGGTTCAATGGGACTCATAAGAAAGTGCGTATAGAATTGCAACTTGTGATGAATGAACTGGGACGCTTTTGGACTTGATGACTCAGGTGAATGTGCTGTGTCCATTTCAAACAGCCCCCAAACTCCATTTTAAGAATCATCCCAGCTTGAAACTAGCACAACCAAACTAGACTGTGCAGAAGTTTGATTTCCTCTGCATAATTCAGTGCTGAATGGACCTGTCACATCTTTCTTCTTGATCAGGTTGTTTCTAGGATGTGGTTGTGTATTGTCTGCCTATGAGTCTCAGAGTTTTCTCCCTTTTAAATAGAAATCTGCCTTGGTTAGTAAGCTGAGATTCAGATATCCAACTTGATGTTATGCCTTAAGCTGCTCTGATTGGCTTTTCACAAGCCCGAAAAATCTTCACACACTTGAATAGGGCATGAAGAAGAAGAAGAAGAAGAAGAAGAAGAAGAAGAAGAAGAGGAGTTTGGATTTGATATCCCGCTTTATCACTACCCGAAGGAGTCTCAAAGCGGCTAACATTCTCCTTTCCCTTCCTCCCCCACAACAAATACTCTGTGAGGTGAGTGAGGCTGAGAGACTTCAGAGAAGTGTGACTAGCCCAAGGTCACCCAGCAGCTGCATGTGGAGGAGTGGGGAAGCGAACCCTGTTCACCAGATTACGAGTCCACCGCTCTTAACCACTACACCACGCTGGCTCTCTTTATATGACAGTAAACAGGGCTCTCTTTTTGCTAATTGTGAAGGTTTTCCTTGTTATGAAGCAAGATTCGAGTGCCTGAGAAATTCAGAGTTAATATCCAGATAAAGTTTGGAGTTTGGTGATGTCATGGGGTACAGTGGTACCTCAGTTTATGAACAGCCCTGTTTATGAACTATTCAGTTTACAAACTCCGCAAAACCAGAAGTAGTGTTCTGGTTTAAGAACTTTACCTTGGTCTACGAATGGAAACCAAATGGTGGAAGGGCACCAACGGCAGGAGCCCTCATTAGGGAAAGTGTGCCTTGGTTTAAGAACAGATTTGGTTTAAGAACGGACTTCAGGAACGGATTAACTTCATAAACCGAGGTACCACTGTAATTTCTTGCAGGGCTGAGCCTACCATCCTCCAGAGTGAGATTTGTCAATGTGACTGCTGAAAGTTCTATAAAATGGCCAATATTAGAAATCTCAGCTGTGGCCTTCCGTTTTGATAGCTCCTTTTTTTACTCTGCCACAGTTCCAGGTCTTCTGTGTTCTTTCCCCACCCCGTCTAACATTTCAGCATATAGTTTTGTGTGTATAACATCACTGGAACTTCCAGTTCATGGCTGTTTCAACATACAGCTTCTTGTGTACAAGATCCCAAATTCAGTTACTGGCATCTCCCGTTGAAGAGGCCTGATCTAAGGGGTTAAGATAAGATGGCAGATTCCGGAAATGGTAGAGTGAACCAAACCACCTGCAGGTAGTCAGTGCCACTTTGAATGGTCTCCCACACTAAACAACAACACCCTACATATACAAAACTATCACAGCAGGGGGAATGTTGTGACACAGCCCATTCCTACTGTGCTGATTCTCTAGCTGTGCAAGGTGCTTTTTTCTATACAGGGCGCACACCAAAATGTGGCTACTTGAGGCATTGGTCCGAGTCAGTATTAAGAAGCACCTTTTACCTCTATTTAAAATACACATTGACAAATTAAAGAGTTGTTTTTGTGCTATTGATTCCAGCAGGCATGTAACTGGGCATAGGACAGCTCTTTCTTCTGACAGTCAACACAATCCGCCCTATTGAAGCTCTCCCATCAGAGGTCAAGGAAATAAGCATCTATCCCATTTTTAAAAGACATCTGAAGGCAGCCGTGTTTAGGGAAGTTTTTAATATTTAATGCTGTATTGTTTTTAACACTCGATTGGGAGCTGCCCAGAGTGGCTGGGGAAACTCAGCCAGATGGGTGAGGGTATAAATAATAAATTATTATTATTATTATAAAAATATTATTATCATCATGCCACCTGTGCAGGTTCAGTGGGAATGAATGGGTGAATTGTATTAAAATGCTACAGTACTCTTGCCCAAGAGTTGTTCCTAATGAACATGGTACAAATATCTAGTTGCACACATTTGCAACTTGTTCATACAAGTTGTTTACTGGCTTTAAAACTAAATCCGTGATAGTGTAGGTGAACCACATTTGTGATGTATTGGTGATATGCAGAAATCCCGCAGGTTTTGTGGATCACGCTGAACGTTTTTGCTGGGGGGGGGGGAGAGGAGAGGTCAAAGTGTTTTCTATGGACAGGATTCAACCAATGAGTCCTGTCAATGGAAGTCCTACAGAAGGGTTTCTGCTAGGACAAGGGGCCTTTCCTACCTTTACTCATCCTGCACCCCTCAAAATTGACTCAAGGGTCAAGAGAACCACTGGAACAGCAAGCAGGGGGAGGGGAGGGAGATTGTTCCATCTGGCAAGCCGAAATGTCTTCCCTGATGGAAGGATCACCTTAGGGCAATGTTGAATTCCTCCTTCCATCTTCAGTATCACAACCGTTTAACAGTGTGGGATATAACAAGGAAACATTGGTTGTGCCCTGTCCTCAATGGACTACCACCA